TGAGCTGGCTTCAAACTGTGATCCTCAGCCTTCTGAGTAGCTAGGATTACAGGAGTGAGCCACAGTAACTGGCTTGACTATGTTTTTTTTTTTTGATCGGTCGTGGGGCTTGAACTCTGGGCCTGGGTGCTGTCCCTCAGCTCTTCAGCTCAAGGCAAGTGCTCTACCACTTGAGCTACAGTGCCACTTCTGGTTTTCTGGTGGTTTATTGGAGATAGGAGTCTCACAGTCGCTCCTGCCCAGGCTGGCTTTGAACCGAGATCCTCAGATCTCAGCCTCCTGAGTAGCTAGGATTATAGGCATGAGCCACCAGCGCCCGGCTTGACTATGTTTTTGACCACTGTGTTGTATATCATTCTATTTACAGTTAAAATTCTATGCAGTTACATATTAATAATATGGAATTAATATAAGTATAACATTATATAGATTATATAGATAATAAACATAGTTAACTTTTCTTGCAAAATAAATAGTAAACACAGATATTTCTTTAGGGTTTAGAAGTATTTCATTACAAGTTTACAAGGTAAATATTATCATTGCTTTTGTTTTATTGATTAGGAAATTTAGGGTCACAGAGGCTATGTAACTTGAACTAGGTTTCACAGCTTAAGTTCAGTATCATGTTATATTATGTTATATGTTTTCCTTAGTGTGAAGTCTTGCGTTATGTGTTTAAATATATAGCTCTAGAGCTGGGTAGGAGTTTAATAAATGTTTTAATGATAGAATCTAAAAATTATCCTTACCTTTACTAAGTATAGTATAATACTTTCTGATTTATTTTTATCATTTTAATTGTTTTAATCAAGTAATGTAGCTGTTTGAAACAGAAATTTTAAGACAATAGAGCAAAGTGAGGATTACTCTATTAGGAGAACCTCTAAATAAAATCCAGATTGTGTGAATTTGAATTCCCCTGAAATTTGGCACCTTACTTAACACAATTTAAAGCCCAAACCCTTTCCTTAGAGAAGCTCTGAACATTTCAACCAACAGACTCTCAATAGCTTGCCACCATAGTTACTGATTTATAAGGTAAGAATTTTTAGGTGTTTTATTCTTTGTTACAGTTTGTCTACGTCACCATTTTGCTTTTAAAATTGAATCATACCACTATTCTTGGTTTTTAGCTAATCCCAGGCTGGCTTGAACTGTGATCCTCAGATCTCAGCCTCCTGAGTAGCTAGGATTACAGACGTGAGCCACTAGTGCCAAGCTAAATGTAAGGAATTTTTGTTTTGTTTTGTTTTTGTCCATTGTGGAGCTTGAATGCTGGGCATAGGCACCGTCCTTGAGTTCTTCAGCTCAAGACCAGCGCTCTGCCACTGGAGCCACAGTGTCACTTCCAGTTTTCTGGTGGTTAATTGGAGATAAGAGTCTCATGGACTTTCCTGCCCGGGCTGGCTTTGAACCTTGATCCTCAGATCTCAGTCTCCTGAGTAGCTAGGATTATAGGAGTGAGCCACTGGCACCTTATTGTTATAAGTAGGAATTTTTAAGATTATGTTTGGTGGCATTTAGATTACATTTGTAGGATATATGTTCTACTAGCCTGTTCATTTTTACTAAGTGTGTCATTTCAGTCTTATTTGTCATATGAGATGCACAATTCTTTTTTTTTTTTTGTTGGTCATGGGGCTTGAACTCTGGGCCTGGGCCCTGTCCCTCAGCTCTTCAGCTCAAAGCTAGCGCTCTACCACTTGAGCTACATCACCACTTCCGGTTTTCTGGTGGTTTATTGGAAATGGGAGTCTCACAGTCTTTCCTACCCGGGCTGGCTTTGAACCTTGATCCTCAGATCTCAGCCTCCTGAGTAGCTAGGATTACAGGCATGAGCCACCAGCGCCTGGCGCACACAATTCCTTTCTTTCTTTCTTTCCTTCCTTCCTTCCTTCCTTTCTTTCTTTCTTGTGTATGTGTGTGTGTGTGTGTGTGTATGTATGTGTGTGTGTGTGAGCATGTGTATGTGTGTATGATACTAGGATTTGAAATAAGACCTTATACTTGCTATAACCTTATACTTAAGCCATGGACCAGTGAGATAGGTTATTTCATTTGTTTTTATAATGTATTTAGTTGCTGTAAAAATAGCTTATCCTCTAAGTTTGCTTTAGGATATTTATCATGTCCTCTTTGAATATTTATGTTAGTTGTAAACCATTTATTCTGAAAATAGTAGAATACCTGAGGAAATATATTTTTAAACTTATGTCTTCATGTCTCTTTTTAGGATATTGAATAGATATTTCACTGATATAATAAAAAAGGAAAAAAGAAGAGGAGAGCATTATAATGAGCAGAGTATCATGCAAAATTCTCCTCTATAAGCTATCAATATCATTTGAAAAATAGTTTTAACCGTTTTTATAAAACAGGGAAGCTATTAAAAACTGCTAATAAAAACTAGGTACTTATTTTTGTGCTAATACTAATTACTGATAATGCATGCTTATGTTTGTCACTCATTACATGGCACTGTACCAATCAGTGGATGACTGAGACTCAGGCACTTACACATGTAAATTAACCATTAGGTTTTTTTTTTTCTTTTTACTTAAGTGAGTCATAATGGAAAGCAACTCTAGGTCATAAAAAAATCTCTTCTCTTTAATGCTAATGAAATGTCTCCACTCTATTAGCAGACTACCCTTATTGGTAATCTGTAGCCTTCTCTTTTGTTCCTGGTGGTAATGAAATGCTGGGTGCTAAAAAACGCCAGCTCTCCAAGAATGTAGGGCCAATTGTCTTCTGTTCACTTACACTGTAAAATTACTGTTCCCCAGCAAAGCTGAACTAGTGCGGGGACAAGATCAAAAGAGTATACATTGGCACCCGGCTGCTGCAAGTGACTCCTGCTTTATTAATTAGTCATAGCTTCTCCAAGTTAATTCTCTGATAGGACAAAATTATTCTATAGTATTAAAGCAGCAAAGTATAACAGCCACAAGCCCTTACTCTTTGCTTCCTTCAGTTTTCAGTTTAAACCTCTGTATTATGTTTAAAAGCTAAATGTCTCTTTTCTGAACCTTAGGACACCAAAACTATTTTTAATTTTTTTGGAAAATATAGGTAAATGACTGTTTTGTTGTCTTAAATTGAGTAACCTGTATTTAAAAAGTAAATGTATTGGGAATTTAAATTGGATTTTAAATCTATTTTAAAAGTGCAGTTGCTACTAACATTTGTAAGCTTGTTCTGTCCCCTCATCAGAAATGCCACTGGTGTTTGAGCATTTGAAAAGGAACTTCTTTGTGAGTGATTTTGCGGAAGCAAAATTTGACAATGATCCTAAGCTCCAAATTAAATAATATCTGCACCACTTTCCTTTTCATTTAATCTACACTTTTGAAGTCCCTACAGTCTTCAATTTTAAGGATCTTAACTCATTTTTTAAAGTTAATAGTTAATATGCTTTCAAGTTACAGCCCAAGATTGGGTGGGTTGGGGGGAGGGCACCTATATCCTTCTTTCCTGATTTTGTTTTGTTTTGGTAGTAAAGAAATCAATAAATTTTTGAGTTAGATATCACCTGTAAAGAGAAAAGTAACTTAGATCTATTCAATATAGGTTATAGTTACGTTGTAACTGATTAGTTGGTAACTTTTAGTATTTTGGTCAAATTGAAAGAATTCCAGGTTCTATGTTCTTTAAAAGGGTTTTAAAATAATAATGTAATATATTTAGCTAGTATTATATAAAACAAGTTTTATTTGAGATTATTTGAAAGGTATTTTCGAAGAAACTGCAAAACATTTTTTTTTTTAGCACTGGGGATATAGAAAATATGTTATATTCTTAGGGAAACTTCCCTCAATGATTGTAAACAGTCTTTGTATTTTAATATTCTTGTCTTATTATTTTTTTGCCTCCTCTGTTATTTGGGAGGGGAGGGACAAATGGCAGTAGGCATAGTGAGTTGGTCATGTTCTCATTAATTAATCTTCTTTAATGGTTAGGACACCTATCCTTTCTACTGTAATTCTATAGAAGAAGTTAACATAAAACTATTCTACATTGGCTTTTAAAGATAATTTCCATTTTTGGCTATCTTTTCAAATTTTAAAAGCTTTTCTAAGAAGTTATCATTAAGTTTACTTTGCAATCATGAATTTTTAAAATAATTTTAGAAAAGATCAATAGTTATATTTTTCTTAACCTAATTTAGACCGAATAGTGTTATGTCCATTATGCTAGCTTTGTCAGAAGTCTCCTTTAAAAAAAAAAAAGCATTGTATTAACTGTTCTTGTAAAGGATTTTTTTCCCTTTTCTTTTCGAAGGAGTATTTGTGTTTGTGAAGGTTAGCAGAGGCTGGCTGTGCTGGAAGTGACTGCAGTGCCTTTTGATTATTCATGGACAGTAATAGAAGGCACTTACAAAGAACAATGAAATCGCTTATTTTTGTGATGGGCCATCTGTTGAATTGTTTTGTGCAACAATTGCACAATAGTATCTATGTCATATCATTCTATTTTCAACAGCAGCTGATTATGTCTCACTGGCTACTTGTCCTTGTTTCTAAAGTCTCATGACCATTTAAAGTCACCTTTCCAGGGACCTTTGCCAGAAAGGTATTAGAAATTGTAAACAACCTATGTATTTTAATATTCTTATTTTCTTATTTTTTTTGTCTCCTTTATTTTTTTTTGGAGGGAGGGGCAAATGACAGTAAACAGAATGAGTTGGTCATATTCTAATTTATTAGACTCTCATGTTTAGGACAGTTATCTGTGTTTTCCACCTGTAGTTCTATAAAAGAAGTTAACATAAAACCATTTGATAATTTGCCTAGAAATGATAGGCTTGCAAAGAGGAGTCAAGTTTAAAGGACTGTTACATGGTCTTTCATGCTTTTAATTATCTACTTTCTTCTTCATGATGATAATTAGACTTTCTCTTGGAATTCACTTCCATCTTTTAAAAAAAGATGAACCATTAACAAATATGTTAGAGCAGAAGTGAAATTAAAATAAAACAAATATGTTGTTGTCCATAGGTCACTGACATTGCTGATGCCATGATTCTGAAACAGCTTTTTGAAAATCTGTTCAAAAATGGGGTCGTCGTTGTGGCAACATCCAACAGACCACCGGAAGGTAAAAACAAACATTGTGCTAGTCTCACCCAATTAGGTGGAAACTAACAAGCTTTTAAAAATCCATACTTCTGTACTAAATTTATTGTGTTAATAAATCTGATGACCTTGCTTATCATTAGTTTTATAACTGGCTTAGTATGACAAATTAGTCTCTATTTATATTTGAAAAATGTGTATATTTTAAGCAAGATAAATCTAGCTCATCTCTCATGTTGAATGTACTTTTTCCCTGACTATTGCTTGTATGAATGGTTTCTAATACTTTACTAAATTGATCATTTCTAAGCTCTTGTGGCTTATTAGGAACGTACTTAAGAAACTAAGATACAAGTGATCTTTAGACAAAAGTAATGAGTTTAAAATATTGTATCTTTCAACGCATTATTGTGTTCAGTAAAAGGTATAAACTAAAAATATGTTTTATAAGAGATTTAATGTTAACATCTTTTTGCCAAGAATGCTCATCCCCTAGATATTTGCATGTCAGATGTTGCTTTGCTCGGGAAGCCCCTGTAGACCTATTTCAGTTTACAACTCAACCCTATTTTCTGATGCTGTTTCTTCTTACTCATCTCAATTTTTTTTCCCATAGAACTTACAGACCAGCTGTCATTCATTTATTATATTTTTGGTTTATTGTTTATCCCCTTCTAGGATGCAAAAAAAATCATGAGGGCAGCAATCTTTAACAGGGCCTAACATACAATTTCAGTAATGTAAGGTATATTAAGTAGGTAGGTTTCATTAGGTAGTCCATGAAGAGAAGACCACACGCTATTCAGGCAGTAGAAAAAGTTCATTTACTCCACCTGCTGCAAATGGTGGAGAGGCACGGCTGAAAAGGAAACTGGGGCTGAAAAGTCCTGGTCCAGGACTTATCTAGGCCAGGGACTGGAACAGGTGTGGCCAGGTGGGGGGGAAGGTGTAGCCATTCTGGTTCTGGATGTGACCTCAGGGTCTGGGAACCACCTATGATCAGATGGGAGGCCTGTGACCAGTGGTGGCCCAGGATGTTACCTAGCTGGAGAGGAAGGTGACTACTTCCAGGTCTGCCAGTTATCTAGGTAACAGATACTGGGCAGAAACTTAGCCAAGAGGTAGGGAGGTGTCCCTGTGCAGACCTTCAAGTAAATAGTCTTTGAATCCTTTAAAAGGATCTCAAGGCCTTGGGTTCAATCCCCAGTAGCACAAAATGAAGGAAGAAAGGAAAAGGAAAAAGAAAAGGAAAAGGCAAATAAAAGATCTCTGGCTGCAGTGTGGGGAGTGTGAGAATGGAAATTACAAGGTTGGGATAGAGGAGACTATTCAGAATATTTGCAAAAATACTGAGAGAAGATAATGGAGCAGCCAAGTGATGAGACTGGTCAGATTCTGGATATATTTTTCACACAGACCGAATAGGACTTAGTGATAGAATGGATATTTGGAATGAAAAAGAGGCATTAGAAGGGTAAAGTACCCATCCTGAGAAGGGAAGGCTGCAGAAAAAGAAGATCTGGGTAGGGAATTGGAAGTGCGATTTTCTATGAAGGTAAGACTGATACACTTAAGAAGGATTTTTCTTTCTTTTTTTTGTCAGCCGTGGGGCCTGAATTCTGGGCCTGGGCACTGTCCCTCAGCTCTTCAGCTCAAGGCTAGCACTCTACCACTTGAGCCACAGTGCCACTTCCAGCTTTTTTTTTTTTTTTCTGCTTCTGTGGTGCTGAGGAATTGAACCCAGGGCCTCATGCATGCAAGGCCAGCACTCTACCACTAAGCTACCTTCCCATCCCCAATTTAAGATTCAGACTGGAAATATAAATTTGAAATTATCAGTCCTAAAAGAGGATAATGAAAATAGCTGGTAGCATAGGAGGACAACCAAGAAAATTTCAAGCAAGGAAAAGAAGTGGTACCAAATAATGGGAGACCACCTTTGTAATAAATGCTGCTAAAAAGTTAAAATGTGGCTGAGAGCGATCACTATAATTGCTAACATGGAGTTTTTTAGGGAGCTTGAAAAGAGCAATGTAGTAGTGAGTTTTTATTTTTATTTTTACTTTTTGGGGGGTCCGGTCGTGGGGCCTGAACTCTGGGCCTGGGTGCTATCCCTCAGCTCTTCAGCTCAAGGCTAGTGCTCTATCACTTGAGCCACAGTGCCACTTCCAGCTTTTTTCTTTTTTCTTATGTGGTGCTAAGGAATCGAACCCAGGGCCTCAGGCATGCAAGGCAAGCGCTCTACCACTGAGCCACCTTCCCAGCCCCCCCTCCCCTTTTTTTTTAAATAGGCTATGTCACATTTGATGACTAACACATCAATACCTTATTGTGGAAACTGCTGTCAAACTTGGCATATCTTTGTGTAGTTGATTTTCTTTTCTTTTAATGTTACTTAATTCTTGAGATGTACTAGCATTTATCCTTGTTTGTATGTCTGTGTGAATGTGTGTGTGTACTGGCCCTAGGGCTTAAACTCAGAGTCTTGCCACTATTTCTGAGCTTTTTTGCTCAAGGCTAGTGCTCTACCACTTCCAGCTTTTTGGTGATTAATTGGAGATGTTTCTCATGGACTTTTCTGCGTTAGCTGGCTTGGAACTTTGATCCTCAAATCTCAGCCTCCTGAGTAGCGAGGATTACAGATGCGAGCCACCAGTGTCTGGAACAGCAGTGAGCTTTTTTAAAGGTAGGATTTCACTATATATCCCAACCTCATATCCTACCTCTTGAGAACTGCAATTAGTTGTGTATTCTCATGCTCAGTTGGCAGTGAACTTCTTAATAGCTAGATTGTCTATCCAGGTGAAAGTGAGGTTTGCCTCTACAGTTGCTGACATGTTGATTTAATAAATGTCACCAGTATTGCCTATAGACATTCAGAGATAAAGTTGTGCATGTAAATAGAATGATGCTAGAATACTCTTGGAAACCTCCTAGCAAAGATTGCTAAAAGAAAAAAAATGTGCTATTGTAATGTGGTATATTGAGGAAGGACAATCACTAGGAGAGGTTAAAGGACATTTTGAAGCTCATGGCTTTGTAGAAGTGAACAAAGTACTTGTTTATCAAGAAAACATGCAAATATTGAGCTGAAGCAGCTGTTTTTGAGATCAGAAATTCAACATTCAGAATTGCAAAAGTGAATATTAGTTGACTAAGAGAATGCCTTTTCTAAATAAGCTGTAGAATGGTTGTGTGTCACATACCAGATTTACTGGTATATAGTAGACAGGCATCTTTTGTGTGTGTGTGTCTGTTTTGGTGCTGGGGATTGAAATCAGGGCCTTGTGCATGTTAGGCAAATGCTCACTGAACTATAACCCTAGTCATCTAAATAGTCATCTTAAATAGCTTAATATTTTATTTTATTTTTTTATTTTTGGGTCCAGTCGTGGGCCTGAACTCTGGGCCTGGGTGCTGCCCCTCAGCTCTTCAGCTCAAGGCTAGTGCTCTACCACTTGAGCCACAGAACCACTTCCGGCTTTTTTCTTTTTGCTTATGTGGTGCTGAGGAATCGAACCCAGGGCCTCAAGCATGCAAGCATGAGCCACCTTCCCAGCCCCATAGCTTAATATTTAATGTAAAGCCAATCTGAGATGGGCGGATCATAAGTTCTAGGCCATCCCGAGCTTTAGGGTGAGAACCTGTATAAACAAACCATCAAAAGTTTAAAATATTTTAATGTGAAGATGGTATGTCTATGTGTGTGTGTGTGTGTGTGAGAGAGAGAGAGACAGACAGACAGAGACAGAGAGAGAGAGAAGGGGAGGGAGGGAGAGGGAGAGAGAAAGAGAGAGTGTGTGTGTATAAACTTCATGGGTGAAGAAAACGACTCAGAATATAGATACTAGGAAAAAGCAAAACAATTGGACAAAAACATATCAAGTTGGGTATTATAGTGTATCCTTATAATCCTAGCACTTGGGAGATCAAGACAGGAGGATCTGGATTTTGAAGTCAGCCTTGGCTAGGTAATGAAATCCTGTCTCAAAAACAAAAACCAACTGGGTGCTGGTGGTTCATGCCTATAATCCTAGCTACTCAGGAGGCTGAGATCTGAGGATTGAGGTTCAAAGCCAGCCCCGGTAGGAAAAGTCCATGAGACTCTTACCTCTTAACTACCAGGAAACCAGAAGTGGCACTGTGGCTCAAGTGGTAGAGCCCTAGCCTTGAGCTGAAGAGCTGAGGGATAGTGCCCAAGGCCAGAGTTCAAGCCCCACAACCAACAAAACAAACAAGAAACCTCCAAAAACCCAAAACAAACAAGTAAACAAGAACAGATCACTCCTTGCCTGGTGCTAGAATAGAAGACGTGTTTGATGACAGGAGCATCAGGAGACTTTCTTCCTTCCCTCCCTCCCTCCCTCCCTCCCTCCCTCCTTTCCTTCCTTCTTCCTTCCTTCCTTCCTTCCTTCCTTCCTTCCTGTCTGTGTCTATCATCTTTTCTTTCTTTTTAAAAATTTCTGAACCTCAATCGGTTGTGTAAGGGATTATAATTTAATTGTATAAAGGAATATAATTTAATTTTTGGTATTGGTTATGTGTTAAAACTCAAGGAACTGAAACCACCACCTCCCCAAAGTAAAAACAGCCCCACTAGTAAATTTTTTAAAAACCAAATAGCCTCATTTGTGTTTCTCTTTGTTGGTCATCATCAATCTTTCTTTCTTTCTTTTGTTCTTTCGTTCTTTCTTTCTTCATTCCTCTCTCTCTCTCTCCCTCCTTCCCTCTTTCCCTCCCTCCCTCCCTAGGGGAAGAAGTTTCTTGGTGACTGGAGAAAGGAGCTATAAAGGTGGTCAGCATGGCTGAAGAGTGAGGGGAAGCAGGATGCAGGGAGATACAGTATAAATCTGGGGGGAGATGGCCTAGTTCTTGTAAAGCAAAAATAAGAACTGGGGATTTTATTCTCTGTTTCCCTTTGGTTAAAAAAAGGAGGATGTACTCAAGGCCTCTCGCTTGTTAGACAACACTCTGCCACTTAAACCATATGTCTCTATACCTTTTTGCTTTAGTTACTTTGTA